CTGGGGGATCGGGGCCTGTCCGCGCCGTCCCGCGGGGCCTTGCCGTGGCGCGGGTGCGAGCTCTGTGCCCTGCAGGGCTGGGGGGGGGCAGGTGGAGAGCTGCCTTGTCTCTCCCCTCGGCCTTGGCGTCCACCTGCTGCCGACACCCTCCACTTTATCCAGGCATGCCTTTCCTTAGAGCTCTCTCTTGCGTTGTTGCTTTTTAAGCTCTTCATGTCCACCTCCCTTGCCATTAATGCCCCTTGCCTGGTGACACTCTTAAGTTGATAAAGCTGAGATGAACAGTAACTGAAGTTTTCTAAGACACATCAGTCTGGAATGCAGGAGGTGCTGTTTTAACTTTTCACGTGCTTGAAATTATTAAAATATTAAGGTGAAGTGATTTCTGGAACTGAACGAAGAGTGGAGTGATACTTAATACTCCCTGTGCGTGGAAGAATAAAAATTGTACAAATTAGTTTATATTGTAGTAATTGTATGCTTTTTTCCCTTCCAATGATGATTTACCCCTTGTCTAGTAATTTAAAGTCCTTGATAATACTTGTTAAAATACTGTTTTGTTTGCAAAAACATCATGTAGGGGGAAAATCCAACATTGAGAGATCACAGACTGAGATGAAGATACTTGTTCTTCCAAGTTGATACTGGAACTGGGTGACAAGACTGTAGAAGATACATGTGCTTCAAAGCACTTTTGAGTTCAGGACACAAAGTTTTGGGAAAACCGGGCTGTTTATGTGCACATCTCATTGAGCTCAACATAACGTGAAGTTGGTGGGATCAGCTCCATGTTCTTGTAATCCCTAACGTGCAAACTAATACAAGTAATCCTTGAAATTAGGTTGAACAAAGAATACTTATGTTAGCAGAGTTGTTGTTGCCTAAGAGTATTAAAGAAACTGGGGTTGTAAGAGAAACTCACGTTTTTCAAAAAAGTATATGTAATTTCTGATTTTTGATAAAAGAGGCATCAAAACTTAAGTCCCTCAAGGTCTGGAATTCCTGACTATGTGGTCAGCCCAAAATTTGCTTTTCATTATGTGGAAGAAAAAAAAAGTAATCTGCCTAGCCTGTGGTACTTCAGTACCCTTCAGCTCGCAAGTCCAGTTGTGGTATGACTGTGTACTTGAACAAGGTCCTGGTGTGCATCATTCTTCACTCTCTGTCCTTGCTTCTATCTGAAAGGAAAGGTTTCCTGAAAGGAGGTTGCAGTGCGGTCGGTGTTAGTCTCTTCCAAGTAGCAAGTTAGCAAGTGACAAGATGAGAGGAAGTAGCCTCAGGTTGTGCCAGGGGAGGTTTAGATTGGATATTAAAAAAACCTTTTTCGCTGAAAGGGTTATAAAGACTTGGAACAGGCTGCCCACGGGGAAGTGGTTGAGTCATTATCCCTGGAGGTATTTAAAAGATAAGTAGATGTGGCACTTTGGGACATGGTTTAATGGCCCTTGGCAGTCTTCGGTTTACAGTGGGGCTCAATGATCTTAAAGGTCTTTTCCAACCTAAATGACTCCATGATTCTATCTGAAGTAAACAGGGCGTGGAGCAGAAAGCATGCACCATGTTCAATATTTTGATTGGGATAGGATGACTGGGGTCAACCATCTACGGTGGAGTTAAAGACAAATGGGTTCCATCTTTCACTGTAACTAACCGTGTCTTTATTTCTGTGTCTTTCAGTTCTGATATTAATACGTTTTACTTCTTAATAGATTGGGTTGATGTTGCCAATGATCTTTTAAGGAGCTGTCACATAAACCAGCACATAAAGCATCTCTCAGAATGTGGTGCTGATGTGTTTGTTCGTCTTTATGAGTCAATCTTAGGAGAAAAAGTGCCAGGTAGGAATGATAATTTATAAACCTGCTTTTCTTTTTTTTTTTCTCTCTTTTTTTATCTTGTAATAAACAATATGAGTTTGCAAAATGTACTACAGATGTAGGGGTTTTAAAATATTTATGTTCTTCCAGAGACAAACACACAAGATTGTAATTCTTTAAGAGGATTTAAGTAATATTGGCCAATTTTGTTTGGGGTTTTTTTGACTACAGAGAATGACAGCTATGAAGGGAGTTCACTAGTATAGCGACAGCAAAACTTTTCCTATTGTAAATTAGGCCCTGAAGGCCATACATAAGCACTTAAATACACATAAATACTTTAGTAGTCTCTATTCTTGAATCTGATACTTCAGCTGATAAAATCCTCACATCTTCTAGGGGGCATTCTAAGTTTGTACTCAGTATTTATAGAAGATTTAATAACCATATGATACTTGGCCTTTTCACCAAATACACAAGGTATTAAAAATGCTAACTTCTAAGTGAAAGTTCAAGTAGTTTAGTCAAAACATCTGCAATAAGCTATCCATTTAGATAGCCTAAAATCTATTATTTATTTTAAATAGATTTCATAGCTACTCCTAGAAGCCAAGAGGATGATGCACATAATGTACAAGCAGTAATAGATTCCCTGGCATTGGACTACTTGCAGGTCAGCCTGTCACACATCACTGGTAGGTACTCATTTTGATGTAGACAAACACCAGCTGAATATCTGTGTGGTTTATTTTGAACATTTTATAAGAACCGTATGTTAGAAAGCATATTTTTCATACTTACATGAAAGGTCTTTTTCCTGTAGTGAGTGTCATCAAAACGCTAAACCCTTGCCTTGGACATCAGGTTATAAATTTAAACAGCAAGCAGAGAATAAATCAGAGCTGTCTTGTATGATACAGACCTGTAAGAAATGTTTGTTAACTATATCAATCATACTTCACTTGTCTGCTAAAGTGTTACTGGGAGTCTGTTACTGGCTCAGTATTTTTCTGTATGCATTTAAAGCTTGGAAACTGGGTTGTAAAACATGAGCCTTGAATTTCAAACTAGTTATTTATTTTTAAAAGTCAGTGAGTAAAGACTTGAACTATGTTGTGTCTGTCCTTTGTACACAGATAATAGTTTCACTGAGTTTTCTTATGTATAGTCTCACATAACATAGCCTGCAAAGAATGAAAACTGCTTGCCTGATATGAAGTATCTCTTTCTAATTTGGTCCCTGTACAGTATGGCTGGTATTTGTAATCCTGCCAGTCCATAGACTTGCTTCATGCTGTAGCTAATATGTATAAAAAAATACTAAATACTAACTAACACTGAAAATATCCCTGGGGTATTTTTTGTGTGTGTAAGCAGGTATAGCATCAATGCCACTGTCACTTATTAGGACTGAAAATATGCAACTTTAGGAAGCTTTTAAGATACCCTAAGCTTATGTATGTGGCCATAAATGGGTGACTAGTTGTCTTCTGAGCTGACACTTTCACAAGAATTTCTAAGTGCTCTTTTCCAGAAAACTCCTGCTTTTGAGAATTTTTCTTCTGTGAAGTGCTAATTATTAATATGTGGCAGTACCTTCTCTTAAGGTGAGAACATTGTGAAAGGAGAAAGAGAATCTATCAAAAACCTGATTGAAATATTTGATGGTTTATTAGAGTATCTTACAGAAGAAGTCAGTGAATCTTCTTCTCAGAATGGAGGTAAGTAGACATGTCCTAGTTTAAGGTATTATGTTCTGTTACTACTACATTATGGACAGCTTTATTTTTCTATTTGTCTGCTCTCAAGTTAGCTTGCTGAGGGCTTAGGTTTTCATGACCATAGTTCTTGGTGTTCATGGATGGAATACAGTTCCCATAATAGGTAAAAACTGTTTCTTTGCTGTTCTTCTCACTAGCAGCTATAGGAATGATGTCCATTTGAAGATGTAAGCTTTGTGAAACCTTGTTTTGGGATACCCAAGGTGTTTCCAATATAGTGAAGATTTATTTGGTGTGTTTGTCTTAACCTTGACAATGCAGAAGAAAAGAAAGACTGAAACTTTCCTCCCCCCTTCCACAGGGGGAAATTTCAGTGGCTAAACTATTTACATTCTCTATTTTCATAATAATGATAAAATAGTTTATTTTCCCTGAAACTTGATAGAAGGCAAGAACTGAAGAACATAACCTTTCTGCTTCATTCTTGTGGCAGAAACCTACTCCAGACAATTCATCCTTGGTTAGTATGTTGCTTTTCAACTTGTAAGTCAAATGATTTATGGTTAGGATTTGGGGAGGGAAATGTTGACTTTAATTGGAACAATGAACAAATGTCCCTTTTACTTACTAGGAGACAAACAGGGAGATGACTTAAGCTTTCCTGTGAAGTGGGTCTTAGGAGCAGATCCACAGCAGGGGCTATTTTGAGGAAAAGACTAAACAGGGGAAGAGAAGCTACTCAGCCCTTCAGAGAGATCATGGTTACTGCAGACTGAGTACTGGTCTTCATATCTTAAAGCTGATAAGAATTGTCATCGCTGGCTGTTGTGCCCTTGGAGTAGAGGGAAGAGCACTTGGTGGCTGAGAGAGTTGCCTCCTGTCCTGTTTCACTGTGAGCAGCAGAAAATTAGCAATTTCACTGCCTGTACTTTTGCTTTTCCCTTCTCTCAGACTGCCAGTGTTGCTACTATGGTAGCAACCATAGGTGCTAGCGGCTCCAATTTTCTAGTTATAAGTACGGGATTTAATTCATTTGAGGAAAGAAGAGAGGGGTTATTTATAATTGAAACAATAGGGTGTATGATAGTTGTATCACTTTTAAAAACTTACCATAAAAGTTGCCTGCCCGCAAGGGTGTTGCATATCATCATTTTATATATCATTATAATGTTTTGTTGAACTTAAACTGGTTTGATGATATTGGCAATAGTACCTGTTAGTTAATAGGTAGAAGTAGTTTGCCTGAAACTAATTGCCTCTTGATTTTTAACAGATGAGGCGAATGTGCTCTCCAATAATGAAATTCAGATTGCATCTCAAGAGCAGCTGGAAAGCAATGCTGGTCAATTTAAGCAACCTTCAATATTCTCATCAGGTGAAGGGTAAGAACAATTCTGAGTATTTGCATTGACATAGTGATAGTGTATCTGTAGAAAAACTAGTAGGTTTTTAATAGTATGCAAGTAGGAAACATACTGATTACATAAATCAAATGGAATGTGAGGTAACTTTCTCCTTTAGTTAGATCCAGAACTTCTAGAAATTAGATACAGAATTTTTTTGCTCTTGAAGAATGCTGATGGTGTTTTGTTCCCCTTAATTTTACTTTGCATGTGGAATGAAACAAGTTGAAAACATTGTCTCAGTTTTAAATTATTGTATTTTAGTTAAACTGCATTTGATCTATTTTCATGACTTCTACGTTGGTTTGTTTTGTAGAAGCTGGCCTCTGACGTCCTACACTCTAATAGCCAGCTGTCTGAAGTAGAGTTGCTACTCTTCTGCAGCTCCATCTTGTGGACTGCAGGAACAAAGACTTCTAGAGTAAATCATTTTATGGCTTTATGTTCCTCTTAGGTCCCAGTCAGAATTTTTTGTTCCGTCTTGTGATGTAGATGGATCAGAATCTACTAGTGAATTAATTAGACTTGGAGATACTGCTCATTCATTTTCCAGGAGAGAGGAAGGTGAGCTTGTGTGAAAAAAAGATTTAAGACTACTCTGTAGTAACATTTCTAGGCTTTTTAAAAGTTATTTTTTTCAGACAAATACCTTGTTTTAAACTCTTATTAAAAAAAAAAATCCAAACCAACCCATACCTAAAAAACCCCAGCCCAACGCACAATAAGCAACTATAGTTGATCTTGCTGAAGTTACATTGTAGATTTCTTTAAGTATTCCAGACACTTTTTCATGACTCCTGAGCTACATTATCTGGATAAAAGTTTGTTGTTTGAGTTCTAATTCAGTTCTCCCTACAAAGGCATTTCATTTTGTTCAATAGAACGAGATTTCTGAAGCCTTTAATTTGTTTAATTTATTGCAGCAAAATGTATTATTTAAGACTCTAAAAAGACTAGCAAGTTCATTCTTAAAGAAAACTTGTTAGGAGTGTGTGTCACTTAAAAACATAATGGGGGGGCTCTGGAACAAATAACATGCAGACTACTTAAATGGAGTCCATTCCTATTTTTCCTATAATAATATTCCTATTCTTACTGGTGATTAATCTTTCCAAGTAGAGACATAAAGGAATATTATGAATTATGAAATTTTTATTTAACAAAATTACAAGTAGGAATTAACAGACCTATTTTGATTATAGCATGGATTGCTAATGCCAAGTTATTAACATACCAAACATTAAGACTGTCCATCTAAACAGTTCATTGCAAGATGCTTTATAGGTCTTGGTTTAATCTTTTTCAAACACCACTTCTAGAATTCCAGTTGCCTAAATTGTTACCAGCAGAAAAGGACAAAGGGGTGGAAGAATCCGAAAACTCAAAGGCATTTGCAACATTACCTAGACAGTTCTCTGAAACTGAAAGGGCCATTGTAAAGGAAAAGGAAGATGGTGAGTATTCATTCTGTTAGCTTATTTATCTGATTTTGACTAAGGGGTGTAGGATACTAAGGTAGGGTAGAGGACAACCTTAGTCATGGATGGAAACACTCTAGTTAATATATTTTGAAATAAATATATATATAGTTTTCATAAACTTTATATTTTAGTGTCCCAGAGTATACAATCTGGGGTATGTCTGCTTAGCTAGGATTTAACTTCAGCTAGTTTTTTTCCTTTTGTGGTTCAATAAGCAAAACACTAAAAGTAAAAAGCCCTTGTGGATGATCCTAGCATTCAAAATCATGTTCTCAAGGGAGCTTTCATGCTGTTCTTAAGGACAGTTATGAACAGACTGTACTGGGTGAATTATTCTGACAGGTGGCAGCCATCTTATCCAGTTGTCCCTGGCCTCTGCTGACTGTGGCTCCCTCATTGCCTGGAATTCCTGCCCCTGAGCAGGCATTCCCTGCATGTATCTAAAATGACTGGGGGGAAACTTAACAGCAAATTGAAAGCTATTTACTGCGTATGCATATGGCTACACCCATGCAGTAGAGAGCAGCGTATTCATATACGTATATACAGTCTTGAGAAACTTGGTGAGACAGGGAGGGGCTGCAGTACGTATCTCTAAACAGAAGTAACATTGTAAGGCATAAAAATGTTACCATGCTGTTCCATGCGGTCCAACAAAGAGGGTAGTTAACATTAGATATTTAGATACTTCTATCCAATATGTATGCAGAATATAAAAAAATTAACTTTCTGCTTTTGCAAATAACACTTAAACTTCAAGTTCTTTGTATGTGTCTTTTAAGGCTCAGTGGAGTCTGTTCATACTACTAAGCCTCAAAAAGACAGTTTGAGTGCCAGTGCTACAAAACTTGGGGAGCCTATACAGCAAGCTATTCCTTTGCTGCCACCATTTCAGCCTTCAGAAGCCAGACCTCGCTATCCTGGATGGAGAGATTATCAGAGTTCAGCCAGCCAGTCAGCAGCCTTGGCTAACAGTGAAGGAGTAAAAATTCCTACTGTAAGTAAAAACCTATCATTTCTCTTTTTTTTTTTTTTTCATTAGTAATCAATACCTTTCATTTTAAAACCTTCTAGTATACTTGCAGAATGGGAGTAGTTGGTCTCTGAAGAGCAGTTCTGAATGTGTCAGATTTTATCTTCAAAGAATTTTGGATTGTGGATTCATTCTTCACTGGGTGTCCAGAGAGGAAGTTAATTTGAGGGGTGCGTTTATATATTATACACACATACATACGCATCTCCATGATCAATGTAAGTGCACAGCTTACAATATAGTAAACAAAATAGAGTGTATTTTTGTTTCTCTATAAAATCAGCATTGATTTCCATATGCAGATGAACCTAAATATATGACCTTCCTGTCAACACTCTCCTGTGTTTTTATTTCAGCTTGAAAAGTCACTTACACAAAAATCTGAAGATGTTTCTGATAGTCTTCCTCCATCAAGGAAACTCACTGGTGAGAGAAAATTTTGCTTCTTATAGGGTAACTCTTAAGTGTCAAATGTTGCATTTATTTTTATGGGCACTACAGGAAACATGGTTTTGAAACTACTGGTGCATTTTTAAAATTCAGCCACAAGTTCATGTTTTTTATCTCTGTTTTATAGAGAAACAAAAATAGGTTATTCTTAAACTGTTCACTGCGCTGGAGAAAAATGATGTGTCCCCAGTTCAATTCCTTTCTTAGTTAATCCAGTTAAAATGGGCCTATACTACAGAAAACTCTTCTAGCAGATAACTTATGTCTGAGCTTATTCTGAGCAGAGAAACATTGAGCAGACAAACCAGTTTCAACTCTAGGAAAAAGCCATTAAGTGCTATTGTAGGAAAGGCTTAGAAGCTAGTTTTCAGTACTTTGTTGCCTGGGAAACACTGCTTACCTTTCTAGTTTCCATAGCATTCCCATGACACTGAACATTCAAAACCTGAGAAATTACCAAAATGATTGTCACAACTGCGTAACCACAGTTGCTTTGTCATTGTGTTCTCTTTGAATAACTGGGTTCCAGAAGCCATGGATCACATCTCTTTTTACTTGTTCCCCCTATTAGTAGGCACAGTGCAATCTCTACCATCAACTAACAGTTATCTGTCATCTGCTGCTGCTGGGGGAGACAAGGTGCTCTCAAATGATGCTGAGGACAGCGTGACAAAGGTAGACGTTGCATCTTTACCTTATTTGTGGAAGTTCAGTCAATATTTTTGTATTTCCTCTTTAATTCTCTTGATACCTTGTGGCACTTCTGGGCTTTTTTCAAACCTGCTTTTGGCTTACTTTTTAAAATATACAGTCAGTGATGACATGTGACTATGGCTATGTACAGTTTGTAAATCATGACAGTTCTTTCTGGAGGTGTTTGCTCCGAGAAGTACAAGTGCCAGTAGAGTTCTAATTTATCACAACCAATCAGTTACTTAGTTATATTGGGTTTAATCAAAGATGTATAAATCATAAAACCACAGTCATGTCCTTTCTCTGAAGTGTATCAGTATTCTACATTAGTAAGAATTTTCTTGTTCTGGAGTTGTTCAGAATCCGATAAAATTCAGTTTTCACTCCCTTCCTAAAGATCACTGAATTGGCTGGCTATGTTATTTCATTTTATTTCCTAGCATTTTCCTTTGCTTTTCACAAACTGAATAATGCAAAACCCACAAACTGATCAGCAGGTGCCATTCTGTGCTTGCAGAAACATATCTGTATAGGAAGTTCCTTGCTCTGGAAAACACTTTTTGCCTTCTACAACCACAAGAGGTACTCACAGACTTCATTTGTTCCAATAGTTTCAACAGCCTTTACTTCTACGTTGTCTGTTTAAAACATTGTCTCTGTTGAAAACTCATTTTCCGTTGGTGTATTTGCAAGTTTATTCATGCCAACCCTGAATTACTCCGGTTTGAACTGATAAGTTACCAGGCAGTATTAAACCAGTGTAACCAAATGGCATGAGGACATCAGTGTTTCCTTTAGCCTATAGCCAGTGAGGTTCAGCTGGCTCGGATTACTGGGCATTAGTCCCAGGCTAATGAGTGATATAGGGATAGTCATATAACTTAACCTAGGCCTTGTTCTTCTGATTCAGTGGTTTACCTGTAGATGATTCTTGAACTGATCGTCTATGTTCTTGCTAGTCTGTTTCTTTAAACATCTAATTCTACAAAGCACATCATCTTCAGTTGCAGACTTGGACATAGAACTACTTTTTTAATATATATGTACAATCACAGGGTTTGAGATTGTTGTCCTATAAAAGCTGTTGTGGGATCTCTCTACTCACATGATTATTGGTATTTCTGAGCTTTACTGTGGATCTTAATTTATGCTTACTCATTTCCCTAGGTTCCTCCGGTATATGGGACTTCTGCATCTGCTTCCTCATTACATCAAGAACTCTCCCTGTGTGCTGAACGAGTAGCACGAACTCCAAGACCTGACTCTAGATATCTGCCTAGAAACAAAAGGCAAATTAATTTTTTTGGTATTGAACTGAGCTAGCATGTTCATATACATGGCCACCCAGGTGCCTCCCCCGCCCCATCCTTGTCTGCATGACAGTAAATGTGAATTTTAACAGAAAGATTTCCTGTTTCTCCTGACATACATGCATTTTCTTAAATATAGTTATAGGCATTTACAGATTCAGCTTCTCCTTAATCGTATAAAAATGTGCTCACAAAAAAAGTGAACTGGAATTGTATGAGGTAATGCTTATCTTCAGGTTTTTAGAACAGAAATTAAATCTGTCTGTTTCCTGTTTTAGCAGATATGAAAATTCTACCACAGATTCACCTGAAGAGTCTATTTCCCTCAGAACAACAAAGGAAAAGCTATCCAAGCAAGAGCTTCATGAAGTGTCAGAAAAACTCTCTTGCAGGTTAAATGAACTCGATTTAGTAAGTGAAATCTATTCTTTGTTGTATCTGAGCAATCTAGCCTTAGTAATGATAGCAGGGAGAACAAGAATATGAATTATATATTTTCATCAATATAATATTGATGAAAAGGAAATCTGCAACTAACACCTGAGTTTAGACAGTTCTACATTTTGAACAAACTATTGAACCTGACCTCCAAAAAAAAAAATCTGTCCAATAGATGCTAAAGAGAGCTTTGGGTGGGCCCTCCAGAGAAGAAGAGCTGACAGATGAAGACAACCTGTCTCAGCACAGTGACAGTGTCATGGATTATCGACAAAGGAAACCTGAGCGAGGTAACAATTCTTTTGCCACTGAAGTATTAGGGTGGAAAGGAATATTAAAAAAACCCCAATTCCTTCTCATGTAAAGCTGATACACTGAACTACTCATAGTTACTAAGTTATGTATTGTTAGTTCACTTACGTTTTGTCTTAGATCCAAACCTGAGCAACAGTAACACAATTAGAATTAAGTTCCCATTTAATACTTAAATAGCTATGGTAAAACCTTATGAAAAATACAAGGCAAACACAGCTGCAGTAAAAAATTTACAGAAAGTGGGAGGAGGGACAGAAATACAAGCTCACTGAGAGCCCTGGCATTCTGAACCGAGGGCCAATTCACAAAGTACTTCACTGCAGATTCTTCAGGGTCAAACACAACATGTACATCTAGGTAACTTCCAGACATACTGTGCAGCGTGTGTGGTGGTGGCAATATGATTAAATAACCACCCTGTATGTACTGCAGGCTATAAAATTATCATACAGCTTGTTCTAATCCATGTGCATGACACTGCAAGATGGAGCTGTTTGATCCTGGTATATAGACAGTCTCTCACCTTGAGCTACATTCAGTTGGCTTTGCTGCTTTTTCCTTTCCATCTTGAATATCTCTTTGCTATCATATAAGCCCTAAAATTTGTGATTTGGGGCAGGGATAATTCTAAAGGCAAAGGCTTTAGCTTTTTATGACTTTATTTGTGCTAAACCTTTTGAATCTTATGCTGTGGAAAGATTTGACTGTGTGTTTTTTGGGGGATGTTTTTTTTCCTTATGTCTGGCTGAAGAGGGTTTTCTTTTGTTTCAAGTTAGATACTCAGTGACTTGTCTTTCCTTACAGACATACTACATCTGAGGTACCAAAGCAGGCCACGATCCCTTTCTCCATCCTCACCCTCATCTCAGCATCAACTCTTTTCTGAGTTGGAAGATAAACTCTGCAGTAATGGAACACGACACACAGGGAAAATACACAGCCAGTTGCAAAAAGAGAGGGATGAAAGAACAAAGAAACCAAAGGTAATTTCTAGGTTAGACCTATTGGTCATTCTTACTAACAGTTATACTGAAAGCATGAAAAATGAATGCTCCTGCTTAAAGGTGATATCTGGCCTACTTCAGTAGTTTTCTATCTGTAGACTGCTGAGAAAAAGACTTCAACCCCAAATGTAGCCAAAAAGTCTGAAGTGGAAGAAGCTACTTTGACCTATACACCAAACAAGTTAATGAGGTAGTCATATGGATTGGTTATTTGCTCTGAAAAGTCCTTTTTATTTTTATTTTCTAGGCAGTTGCTAAAGCTTATGAAGATGAACTAAGAACTTATGAAACTAGGGAGAGGCTGAGGCTTTCAAAGCTTGGAGAAATCACCAAGGATAGGGTATGTGATGTACTACAGTGATTGTTGGCTACGTTTTGGTTGGTTGCTTGCTTTATATTTGTCTAGATCCTGTCCAAATAGCAGAGATGTCTTTTGGGTGGAAAACCTCCTTGACTTCCAGTGTCGTAATTACAGTGCTGTATACTATACTACTAAAGCAGTAAACAGGACAGCTTTTCCTCAGATAGGTAGAACCAAGGGACAAGTAGTCTAAGTTTTGGCACTATATTTGAAGAATAATACCTATTCTTATGGTTATCAACCACCATGCTTTTCACATCAAGTGGTAACTTCAAGACACTCAGATTTAAAGAACTGAACCCAAGTAAGCAAGTAGGTAACTTCCATAGACTGGCCTAAACAGCTAGGGTTAATAAGGTTGGAGCCCACATACACTGTAAGCAATCTGCTTAATATTGCCATAGTCTCATGTAACTACTCTGAAAGTTGGGTTTGTGCAAGGATGATTCTCTAGGGTTATGAATGTAGCAAAGGGCTGGTTTTCTACTTTCTTACTACTGGAACAGCAAAGGACCTAAGCTGAAAAGCTCTGTCACACCAATGTAGGCTGCACCAGCCCTTTTCACAGCCTTTGCAGAAGCAGTCCTTGGGCTGCTGCAGTAGTGTTAAGAGCTGAAGTTATGCAATAGTGAGATATAACCTTTATTTGAACCCTGACCTGCATTTGGTAAATTCTGGCCTTCTGGAGAATCTAATACAATATGTCCAAATTCTCATTCTAAAGTTTCAAAGACATTTAAGTTCTGATATCCAAACTATGTGATCTATCAGTCTTTCCCTTTCTCATACCTGTTCTCCATCTGTTTTACATCTGCTCCTAAGGAACAAGAATACAAAGAAAACATCTTTAAAGAACCTCCAAAAATGCCTCAGCCAGTGAAAGTTTATTCTAGAAAAACCACACCTCGGAATCCCAGATACAGCCAGTGGATTCCAAAACGAGGGACTGTGAAGCCAAAGAAAGCAGCTCCAAGTAAGAACTGCAAAACTATACTTGGTGGAAAACTGGCATCTTTTGAAAGCATGTGTTGAACTCCAAGAATAAAGGCATCAGTCCAACGTATACCAGTCAGCTGTAGCACTTTCCCCTTCTTATGACCTCTATATGTCTGGATTTTTGTTAGGGAAGATAATGCTTTAGGTAAATGTAAACCACCAATGCACAGTCAAAACTGACCCGTTCGCTACCTCCTTTGGATTCTTTTCAAGGCTTGTTTCCATTACTGCTACTTCTATGCTTGTTCCACTATAGTCTGAGCTCAATTGTTGGTTGGTTTTTGGTTTTTTGAGCATGTAACAGATTTAAAATTGGGCCTTTAGCTTGAGTGGGCTGGTGCTGAGCCACGTACAGGTAACAGAGCAGGATCTATCAATTGCTGTTCTCTTCCTTTCAGCCGTGGTGGTAACACTGCCACTGGTTTTGCTGAGCAAGCGATGCTCCGAGAAGAGCCAACACACAAATCACAGGCTCAGGTTTGATAAACAGCAACATGCTTGCTTATGTATAAGATTGTAGTATGACCCCCTGCATATCTCAGTGTTATTCAAGTACACTGCCTTTTTTTTTTTTTTTTCAGTGTTTAAAGGACGTATAGTTGGTTAGTACCCATTTGTTTCATCTTCCCGTCATCTTTTCCTGCCAGAAAGATCAAAGATGTAATGAGAATGAGCTGGTTGCAAACCAGTCTTTTACACCTGTTTACTTGACCTGGATCTGTCACTACTACTGTTGTATCAGCATTATTTTATTTGAGAGACAGATAAAGAAATCACTGATGGTTAGAACCATTTAAAGAAAGAAGGGGATACTTGTCTTAATTGGATGCCTGAGCTATAAAAGCAATTCTTTAGCAGAAAAAAAAAAAGAGCAAAAAACTTGGGATTACTTTTTTCACCACTGTTCTGAGAGTGATGTTATGTCCTGCTGGGTTTAGCTTGACATCATAACAACAGCATGGTAGTTGTATGTAGTGTTCAATCTAAAATATTTCATAACTTAGGCTGACACTGTCTGGAAGAATTTACCACTAAATGTATTCTCCAGGAATTTATTGCTTACAGCTGTCTTTACCTTGTAGTGAAAGTAAGAGATGATGACCTCCTATTTCAGCTACTGGAAGAGTTTCCCCACCTGCATATTTCCCACCATACTATGAATAAAATGTGGCGGCAGCAGCTTGCACATACTGAACAACTTAAGGCAGCTTCTGGCAGAACTAAACCAAAACTCCAAAATGAAGTGAGCATTCTTATTCTTACCTTCTTCTAAGTGTCAGCAGAGATCACAGCTCTGAGAGAATAGTTAGCAGTCATCAGTTTCTACTGAATAAAATAAAGCCATCCTGACTCTTCGTATGCAGTGTAAATAGGGTACATGCACATCCAAAGCACAGCTTTAACTAACGCAGCTCGGATGTACATCCTTCCACAGGGATGTACATATATAGACGTGTGGGTTCAACTTTTTATCAGCCACTTGAATACAATGCCCATTTTTTGTACTAGTTATCTAGTACTGCCTAGGATTTTGCTATTGCTTTTTAAAATGCATTTTGTAGTTTCAAAGTGCCAGTTCTGAACAGTCTTTTAGTTTGACTAAAGTTAGGTATGAGATAGAAAAGTTGATGAACTTATGCATGGTAACTCTCAAAAGATAGCAGGGGGTCAATATTTAAAACTTCTACACACAACTGCCTGTCCTGTAGAATGATGGAAGTAATTAGCTTCTTTTAAACCTCCAGGTTCAACAAGCCCTGAAAAAGTATGAGCTGCTTGTTGCAATTATTAAAAAAGATCAAGACCACGGCAAGAGACTAGTAAGTTCTTTGAAGGATATTTGTTACTTAATACAAAAATTTCATCTTGAGCTAGCTGGAATGCATATTCCCTGGCCCATGAAAGTAGCTTTTTATCTTACAACAATTTTATGCCTCTTGAGTAGCTGTGGTCTCAAATGTCATGTAATCTGTTTGCTGGGTGGCTACTGAGGTCATGGGAATGGAATATTATTGTTATACTACTACAGTGTTGCTTTAAAAGTGCAAACAAGTTCTAAGAATAGGCAAGGAGGAGAAACTTCAAGCTCCTGTTGTTGCTGATAAAATGCCAGCTACCATGGCAATGCTGATTCCCTAATTACACAGTGCTCTTGATGGCACCACTTTGCTAAATCAGTGGTGCCTACAGCTTCAAACCATAAATGCAGTGTAAAACTGGGGTAGGGAGAAGGTCGTTAGGCAAGAACCCTATTGATTTAACAATGATTAACAAAGCTTTGCCTGCAGCGATAGCTGTTGGAAGCTTGGTGGTCTTACAGCTACTGTTCTCCATTTAGCAAGAATTTAAGCAACGTATCTGCCGACAGAAATGGGCTCAGAATAAAGTGAGAGAGAAACGCCAGCAAGTTGCTCGAGCCAGGAAATATTATGAAGATTACCGGGTTCAGTTGCGTGCCAAGATGATGCGGGCTAGGACACGGGAAGAAAGGGTAAGTACAAGATGTCTTGCTCTGCAAGTGTGGATCCCAGTGCTGGGACCCACAGTCCAGTAGTTCAAATAATGGTAGAAGTGGACAGAGAGCAAGTCAAGTGACCAGAGCGTAGGAGAGGGGATCAAATGGTTGGTCAGTCGAGGCCACAGATGAAAAGGTTCCTTTGGAAGCACCGATACAGTTTAGGGCAAACCACCGTAAAACAATAAAGGATGGTTTATGGGGTTAAGAGAAGGAGAGAAAGGGTGAAGTATCAGTATGGAAAAACAGGGCTGGTAACATGAGAAATGAGGGAAATGAGTTTTCAGAAACAGTGGGATTAAGAAGTTGTTCCTATAGTTACTATCCAAAGAAAACAATTTAAATCTTCAGTTAAGGAAACTGATCAAAAAGACAGCTTTGTTATTCAGTGTTTGTTAAACAAAGCAGACTTTGACAGATACGATCTCTCATTAGGGCTGGACATCAGAGCTAAGGAGAGCAAGTAGAGTAGTTAAGACTTTGCAAGGGTAGATACAGAATTCTCACCTTTTAAAGTGAAAGACTAGAAGTGTAGTGCATAATCCACTATTAGTGATTTCAGAACTGTTTGCCTCAAGCTGCACTGTAGCTGGTGTGTTTTTGTATAAATGGAAAGCCTGAGTACAGCTGGATTTCCTGCTATTGGAAATTGGATGAAGGTCCAGAAGTTAGACAACAGAACGCCGGGTGGGCTGTAAATCACACTGCGTGTTCAAAGACTCTGGCTTGCACTGGCAGGTTGTCTGAAGTGATTTTAAAAATGTAATATACATTTGCTGCTCTAGTCCCTTTCTTAGTTGTATGACAACATAAATTTTTCATGTCAGTTCATCAGAATCTCAGTTAAGTGAGAAATACAAATTCAGCTCAACTGTATCTGCACCACCATTACTAGATAACTTGCTTTCTCATGGGCAATGACCCATCTTCATGCGATCACCATTCTGTCAGGAGATAAAGCAGCTGAAAAATTTAAATGTACACTTAAAAGTGTCTGGGAAAGTTTCAGGTTTGTTTTTTTTAATTGCTGGCAGATATTTAAAAACTTATTTGAAGAAGGCTTAGAAATTCAGAAGCAAAGACTGAAGGATCTGAGAGCTTACGCTCAAGAGAAGCGTGCTGAGCAAAGGAGAGAGCATCAAAATGAGCTGGAGTCTATGGAGAACTTTTACAAAGATCAGGTAAAGCTTAATCTGCATCAAGGACAGTGAATTTTTTTTTTTTTTTTACACTGAAGCCCTTTTCTTTAATTGCTTCAACTCAAACATGTTATGCTTAGTTTTCCATGCTAGCAGAAGCTTTATCTCAAGAACGCCAAGAAATCCAAACCAGAGAGAAAGCACAAGCACAAGTAAGTATTTTTAATTTTTGTAAATGTCTTGTCTTTTTAACCTGCTGTGGCTCATGTCTGTATTTTCTTTAGATGCTACAGAAAACAAAAAGAGAATTAAGATCAAGGATGGAAAAGGAAATACAGCAACTGCAAGCAGCAATAATGCAAAATGATGATGACACCTTTTTTCAAGAACTAGAAGCAGACAGACTGAAGTCTAGACTTCAGATGGCTTCCTTTCAGTACAGTAAAAGCCATTTCTTGTAGGACTTAGGGTAAATATCACTGCAGTTCTCTGGCTAAGATGATGGGAACCTTAGAGTTGCTGTAACAGGAAGATGGTGTGTCTGTTTTTCTCTAAAATATCTGGTCTGTCAGTTTAGCATGTCAGAGGTGTAGCTGCTGGGATCTGGGATCTCTACAGCACTCTTATGATCACTAATAAAGTTTGTGAACAACTTTCTACCTTCTGAGCACAGCTGAGATAATGTTGAACTCAAGGAAACGGGATGAAGTCAGCGTGCTTTAGTGAAGTTATCTTAGTGGAACAGTCAGATGCTAAGCCTCCTCTACACCTGTGCTGGTTCTGTTGTTGCTGAGTTGAAAAGCCCCACTGGACCATTAGCCAGAAGTTACTGGACTGGAAAGCTCACTAAGAACATGAGTGGTTCAAGTTTCCTGTGAAGGGACAAGTTAGAGAATGCTTGCAATAAACCTGACAATACATTGAAATTACTGATTCTTTTAAAGCCAGACAGGGCTATTTATTCTACGCAATTTTAGTGTAAATGGATTGTTAATGGCAAAGCATATGAAGTACTAATTCCCCCAGTGCGTGTGTTTGAAATAGAAAACAATTAAAGTTCTTCTAAAGCAGAAAAAGATGAGCTGCTGCAAGAACTGAAGTGTGGGAAGGAACTGTGAACAGCATTCCCGATGATTTTCAACAGGCAGATACTAGTAAGTGTATGCTCTGTAGGTATTTCAATTGGTAGATTTCATGCCAGGGTTTCAAAACTACATAAGCCCATGTGTAAACAAAGTTTTGTTTCAAAGGATTGATTTCAGAAGGGAGTGACAGTAATGCTATATACAAATGGACAAGCAATAACAACCATGTTGCTCTTAGAAGCAGATTATTTGGACAAAAGTTTTGCAAGGGTACTTGTATTTAGTACCCTGGTTAGTTTTTTTAGGAAAGAGCAGATCAGTTCTAGTTCTGTCAGCATGAAGCCAGAGTAAACAGTGAGTAAAAACTCCCAACATTCAGCTTTTACCTTACTTCAGGTTGTAGGAGGAGCTGACAACAGGCACTACATCTGTCTTTGTAGAATCATCATGTGCTATAAAATACTAAGCGGGTAGAAAACGGAGGTCTCGGCAGCCATGCATTAGGGGCCCTATGAGATGCAAACAGAGGGATATATACTTAAACTGAGATTACATTAAACCAAGCTGATAGTTAGTGAAGCCCAGTACTGATATATTTCCCTCTGCTTGACAAAACTGTAATTTTTAAAAAGTTTGTCTTTTTAATGAGGAAGAACAGAAGTGAAATTTTAAACAGGGTCTAGTATAAAAGTTGCTTAAAATTGCATGTGAGAGAAGTGATACAAAAATATTGGAATCAATTGTACTGTATATACAGTATTTAAAGCTTGCCATGAGATGGTGTCTCATGGAACGGAGAACACAGTGAATTAAGATTCATGCATTGGGAAGAAAAAAGCCTCGAGCAGCTGGAGACACTTCCTTTACTGATGCAATGAACCAGCTCGCAGTTAGAGCACGGTATACCTCACTTCAAACCCAACCCCTCCACAAAAACAAACCCCACACCCTGACTTTCTTAACAACCCTTTCCAGGGAGTTGCTATAAGCTGGGCTAATTTGAAGTCTTTCTCTAAGGGACGGTATTTACCAGCTAAATTGATCAAATTTAACAAGTATTTACTAGATTTACCTTTTTTCTTCCCTTAAGAAAGATGGTTTAGCTTTGCTGAAGTTTGAGAGGAGATCTAGTCACCAATGTTGAGGTAAAATCCTTGCCAGGACACGCACACCATTACATGGCAGCCAAAAGACAGACCTTTTTGCACATAACAGCATGTAGAAAGACAACAAGTTTTAAGTGTTTTCTCCCAAAACAAAGCTGAGTTACTTTAAAATGTAACAATATCATTTTTAAGTAAATATTTGATTAAGAAAAACTTAAAACTTTTAAAACCATTGATGCTGTGACAGTGCAAACAGCATACAATTTATTGCTCAACTTCTGCATGGGTACATACATTAAGTACTTAAAAACCATTTTATACAGATTTTTTTGTTGTTGTTGTTAAAGCTCATGTAACAGCTGGGTGAAAATACAATGATACCAATGCTAAAACACTCTGTAATAAATACAATGGAAATGATAAACTAAGAACTGTCAGTTTGTGGAGGAGTAATTACACTTGTATAAACTAATTACAACTACAGACAAAGCTCTGAAGATGTGGTAGAGCCAGAAACCTACTACATAGTGTAAAGTACAACAAATGGCACCTGTTAACTATATGGTGCTGTTTAAAATCTGAAGCCATTGGAGCATGCTACATTAAGCTGTATGATGCATACTTATGATATAGAAGCAAAGCTTTTACTTCCATCAATGCAGCCAGTTTAAACGCACCAGAAGTTCAATACAGATGTAGTGTTGTAGAACAAGAATTTAAGAACGGCTTGTGTGCTCTGGACTTTAGTACAACACAAAAATTTGGTACAAATAAATCAGTTTAGGGAAACTGAAACTATGTGCAAAAAAAAAAAATTAGAATACATACTGTACAAAGCACCATTACAAAACTCTTTACACCGAGAAATTAAATCCTCTGAAACTCAACTGTGTACTGTATATTTGAAATCTACAAAAGTCACTGTTCATAATTAAACATTCATAATGAAAAGCAACAGCATAAAACCATGATGTGACATCTCTCTAAAACAACTAAAGACTGGATAAAGTAAAACCCAGTAAGAGGGACACATTGAAATAAATATTCACATTAATCATGGGGTGAAAGTCCAAGGTTAAAATGCAATATTAGGCTTAGCACCTTTTTGAGGGGAAAGTAGCTGACATGATCTTGAAACAAAATTCTGCAAAGGAATCAACCCTTTAACATTTTCAGATAAACATCTGACTAGGTGATGAGGTGCTTTAGTTAAAGCTCTCAGTCATTATGAAGGTAGAAAGGCACTCAAAATACTTGGTATATTCATCCTCATCTGTCAGCTGTGGAAAGTCAAATGTAGATTTGTCTAGTTTTGTCTATAATATATTAAATTTACAATATTTATCTGTGGCAGTTAAAAAAAAAATTCTCTATGCCATACCAAAATGTTTGGTAGAACAAACAGATGTACTGCTAAGGCTGCTGTGAAAATGAATAGTATTTATCATCTGATCTAGAGTCTGTATGCTGCACAGCTCATCTCCTCCCTCCTCAAAAATGCTTTCAGGACACAGGGATGGCCAGAAATATGCATTTTATAAATTTACTGGCCTAAGTAGGTTGACAGGGAGAAAGTTCCTGGGAGGTGGGTATGGGTGATGTGAGCAGGAGACACACTACAGGGACAGTCTTTAAGTAGTGCTGAGGTGAGGAGAGCTGTCTGGAGCAAAGGGAAGAGCAGCAGGCCTTCCCCCACAGATCACCTAACAGAGTCCTGTCTTCTCCCAAAAGCTGGATCAAAGCAGATTTTATGTTTTTTTTTTCCTGTTTCATGACCACGGAGGCTGCAGCCATAGCCTGAGCGGGGTGGGGAAATAACTCACTTAGCTGACATTGGAGTATCCATCCTGTGAACAGTGGTCAAAAGAACCTGTCTCTGTAAATAGTAATTCACATCATACCTCAAAACTTGCCGGGGGGTGAGAAGAGGTCTTTGGGAGTGCCTAAAGCAGTGGTCCCAACCACAGGCAGCAGTACTGAGTAAGAAACACACTGGGCAACAACCTACTTTGCTCTCCCAGGCAACCTGGACAGATGTAGTGGTAGCTTCTCTGGTAACAGTGTCACCTGAAAGCCTTGAATTAGGGATCCCAGCTGTAGATGCAAAGGTACCAGCCATTTTACATGAGTGCAACAGTCCCTTGAAATGAAGTAAAAATGGGCCTGATAGATTTCAAACCTGGCTGTCAAAGCAAGTTTCTTGGCTTTACATTTACATCCCTAAGTAGCCTCATCTCTGCAGCCAGCCCAGAATGGGAAGCAAGTCTCTTAGAACAAACCTTCCAGCAACAGCTGTACAAAAAAAAAAAAAAACCAAAAAAACCCCAACGAACATGTGGATTTGGCTCACCAGATTCTTACCACAATTCTACAAAAGTAGTCCGTCGCCCACTATTCTAAACACAACATCCAGTAGTAGTTTACTCACTGTGGCAGTCAAATTTGGCAGAACAAAATTAAGTTCAAGCTCCATAGAACAGACAGAATTAGCTAGTTCACCGTGTGCCTTACACTGCAAAAACGGAACAGCTGTTTACATCCCATTCTTTTAGCATTTTTGATACCCCTGACTTTCTTCTCATTGGCAGTGTAAAAATAGTGCAGATTTGATGATTAATTGTAACCTAAGTTAAAAAAAACACAACACTGATTGGAAAAAAAACCTGCTACTTATTCCAAATAGTCTCATTGCTGAGAGGAGAACACCACCATCTCTTAAGCAGACTGATCTATCTACACACCACAAGCAGATCATACAGATCTTAACTGAGAATTCCCAAACTAACTTCAAAGTTCAGTTCCCTCTACTGGTAGTGCATTTTATTCCCCTTTGAAGAGATCAACCCATGTTATAATTCATATATATACTTACTTCCATCCCTACAATCAATAATTTAAATTATGTGCTTTTTAAAACCTCATTTTCAAAGCACATTACACATATTTCAGTTAATACACCTTTTTTTTTTTCCCCTCAGTTGTGACTTAAACCCACATGTCACGAGAGCAGCTAGACAAAGATTACAACATGTTTTACCTGATAAATCTTTAGCATCAACAAATATATAAGTCGATTTGGCTGCATTCAAACAAACTTTGGTTGACTGGACAGGATGGGTTCTGAAACAAACTGCTGACAGGCTTCTGCTGTCAAATATCACCTCATCAGCATGCTTAAAAAGTTGAAAAATGCAGTGTTTAAATTTCAAGTCAAAAGCAACAAAAAAAACCTCTTGACAGACTTGTTAGAAAAAATGCTGTTTTTAAAAA